GGGGCGTAACAGTGGTCCCCCAAGTCCATGTATGATTATTTATATCATGGGTGGACTTGTCTTCCCGATCGGGTATGTACGCCTCGGTATGGGAATCGTGATTTGTGAGAATTTGAGGGTCGATTTTCTGTGTTTGCCGAGGCGTTGATCCTAGGTAGATGCGCTAAAGATTCACCACTACGCGAGGGAAAAATTGTAAAGTTGAATGAGGAGCTCATCTGCCACCGGTGCACCAACCCACATCGCTAAAACTTTGTAAAACTTAGGAGGGGACTCAGCGACTAAGGCGATGACCCACAGGGGACTCCGTGTCAGGTGCGTCTAAACTTTGTAAAGTTGAGTGAGGAGCTCATCTGCCACCGGTGCGCCGACCGACAGGGGACGATGCGTTGGGAAATGGGTAAAACTTTGTAAAGCTTAGGAGGGGACTCAGCGGCCGAGGTGATGACCCACAGGGGACTCCGCGTTAGGTGCGTCTAAACTTTGTAAAGTTGACTGAGGAGCTAATCTGCCACTGGTGTGCCAACCCATAGGGGACGACGCGTTAGGAGATGGCTAAAACTTTATAAAGCTTAGGAGGGGACTCAGCGATCGAGGCGATGACCCACAGGGGACTCCGTGTCAGGTGTGTCTAAACTTTGTAAAGTTGAGTGAGGAGCTAATCTGCCACCGGTGAGCCGACCCACAGGGGACGATGCGTTGAGAGATGGCTAAAACTTTGTAAAGCTTAGGAGGGGACACAACGACTGAAGCGATGACCCACAGGGGACTCCGCGTCAGTTGCGTCTAAGTTTTGCAAAGTTGAGCGAGGAGCTCTATCCGAGGTGGGCGTATCTGACGTTAAATGATTTGACAGCTGTTGCGTGTTTCCAAGGTGACAGTTGGGTGCAGCGCCCATTCCTCTAAAAGGTTGCTGCAACTACTTATTGTTGACGGCTAGTGGTGATCGAGACGACACGTTATATGCGAGCGTGATGGTCACAGCAAAATCTTAGGAGTAAATCAAATCTGGCGTTTCATTTCAACGGCCTAGATTGATAATGCAACGGATGGAGATTAGTTGGAGCGCTCTATAAAAAGCGGACTTGAGCATTTTTGGAGTTTTTTACTCTTGCGAAAGCAGAAAATCCCTTTGCTCTCAAACCTCTTTGCGATTTTCGGCATTCTTCAAGCATTTCCGACGAGAAATTTGATTTTCCAGCGACCACACACCACTTTTTGATCATTTTCGGCTAGGGAACACTCAAACTCGTAAGTTTCAGTAAATATTTTGAGACATTTCTTTCTAAAAATGGCTTCTGAGGGTAGTGCTAGTTCAGGGAGGGGTTGGAGTTAGTACGAATAGACGAGCCCATTGTGGCGACCTCCTCTAAAGTAGCCGAAGTGATACTTGGGGGGGGACATTTGAAAGAGGTCGGATAGCCCAGTAGATACCTCTGTGCATTGGGGGGCGTCGGATTACCCCACCAAGCTAAAGGGGGCTGGCCTAGAAAGACTTAGGACTGAATATAGGATACCGGATAGTATAGACCTGATCCTATCCGAGCCTGACGAGAGGGCCTGCTACCGTAGGCCAAGGTGCGTGGCGATAGGTGAGGCAATCCTTAGGGCCGGTCTTAGGCTACCAATCCATCCATTTTTTCGGATGGTGCTTAGGTCTTACGGCTTAGCACCGACTCAACTGAATCCGAACTCCTGGAGCCAAATGATGGGCTCCTGGATGTTATGGAAAGAGGCGTCACTAGGAGTTGAGATGCCCTTCTCTATTTTTCAGACTCTCTATATTCCAAAAGTAATAGCCGGGGGGATAAGACCAAGGGCTGGTATTACCTGACCTCTTGGGGTTCCTACACTCCATTCGTGCTCGATCTATCGAGCTCTATCAAGGAGTGGAAGAGCTCGTGGTGCTAGGCTGTCGGGAGATGGGACACGATGGAGGGGCACCCCCTAGCACCTCTTACGGTCCCCACGAAGTACTCGTCACTTAGTGAGTATTGTAGCTGTATTTCTTGTTTATTTCTCTTCGGTTCAGATTATAAATAGCATTCGTATTCAATTTTTGAAGGCACTCTTCCTCCGTGCGAGCTGTCCTCTGATGACTTCGAGATTATCTGCGTCATCTATCAGTTGCCTCCGAAGAAGAGGTCGTTCTATCGGCTGATCAGAAAGAACCTTCATTTTGTAACGCACGACCTGATGACCTCGCAAGGTAATATCTCGAAGCGAATACCTTTCAGTACTTCCAAGTCGTTTATACTTGTAATAATTTACTTGTTTCTTGCGGATAACTTCAATAAGAAGATGCCTCTCCGGCGCGACTTCAAAACAATACAAAAGATGATGGCCGAGGCGAGGGCCTTGAAGACCTCCTCCTCCTCCTATAAGAAGCAGATGGAGGACTTAGTGGATGCAAGCAAGAGGCTCCCGCCCCTGACGAAGGAGAAGGTCCCTGAGGATCCCGAGGCCAATTTGCTTCGGAAGGGCAAAAAACCTACTGCCCCTTCGAAGCGGCCAACGGTGGCTAGGCCAACCCCCGTTCTGAGGCAAACCACAATTCCTATCGGGGTGGCCATTCCGGAGAAGATGCCCGCGCCATCAGAGGCTTCCCCTGCCCCAGCCAAGGCGCCAGTTGCTGCTGTTCCTCTCACTTAGGTGCCGGGACAGCCTAAGAGGAAGAGAGTCCGTCCCTCAAAGGACCGAAGAATGGAGGAACCATACCGCCTCTTGCACAGCCGAGGACTTAGTGGCAGCCAACAGTGCCTGCGTGGCCCAGGCTTTGAGCACCAGCATTTAGCTGGAAGGCTTGGTAAAAGACCTCAACACCAAGAGGGAGAACCTCGCCAAACGCCTCGAGGAGGTGATGCAATACGGGGGAGCGGTGAGGGAGGCTCGGGCCAAGGGCGCGGAGGAAGAGAAAGGCAGAAAGGAGGCTAAGGCCCGGCTGGCGGCTACCAAAGGGGACATAGAGCGACTGAAGAAGGAGCTCTACGAGGTGGAGTGTCAGATGGCAGCTATGACCCGAAGAGTAGATCATACCAATGAGCACCACCGGCTCGTCACAGAGGCTCTGGAAGCCTCCAACAAAGAAAGGGCGGAGCTGAGGCAGAGGGCGGAGGCCCAATCTGAGGAAATTGCCTCCTTGAAGGAGGAACTGAAGTCGGTAAGGGAAGTGGCTGTTCAAAATTTCATTGACCACTTCGATGAGCATTCCCTGTACGACGACTTTGTAAATTTTTAGTTCTCCTGGAATGCCCAAGGCATATTGGGTCGGCTGAAAGAGATCCACCCTACTTTGAACATCTCCTCTTTAGAGGTAGAGTTTGGGGGACCTACTAGAGGTCAGCCTGATAGGCTTGTCGAGGACACTCCAGTAGCCCTCGAGGCAAACGAGGCAGAGGCTGGTAGGGAAGGGCCTCCTGTAGAGTAGGGCTTATTTTGTAATGGCTTCGGCCTCTTCTGTAAATTTGAAGTGAATGAAATGAAATTGTTTTTACTAAGTGTTGTTGCTTCTATTTTCTTATCGTATTGATCTGTTTGCTCATATATGAATGACAATCACTTAAGACTAAGCATCTCTTAACAATAATTAGAAGATCGGATCACTTAAATAATCATCAAGCGTCTCTTAACAATAGTCAAAAGATCGGATCACTTAAGTAATCATAAAGCGTCTCTTAACAATAATCAGTTAATGACAGGAGATCAGATCACTTAAGTAAACATATTGAGGGACTGAGGTAATAGTTTGCTAACCGATGTGACAAAGAACTGAAGTATCAATACTTAAAAAAGTTACATTACCCATTACCGAGGCATTCTCAGGGCTCAGTAAGATAGGAAAATTACAAATGAGATCGGATTGGGATATACACTTATTAGACAACATTGAGATCGGATCGGAACAAAACATCATCACTGATAGTATTTCCTCAAGTGGTCGATGTTCCATTGGTGAGGTAGTGTTTTCCCTGCCATGTCCTCAATTTCGAAAGTGCCAGGTCGGGATTCCCTGCGGATGCGGTAAGGACCCTCCCAATTCGGTCCAAACACTCCGGACCCGGTTAGCTTTGATGATTGGAAGACTCTTTTGAGGATGAGGTCCCCCAGGCGAAGAGTTTGGTTTCTGACCTTGGAGTTATAATAGCGGGTTATCTTCCTATGATACTTTGCCAAGTTCACCTGGGAGGTATCCCTCCTTTCTTCAAGGAGGTGGAGTTCGTTCACTTGGGCCTCGTTGTTACTAATCTCGTTGAAGTGTATTCGACAGTGTGATGGGACCCTAACCTCGACCGGGCTCATGGCTTCGGTTCCGTAGGTCATTGAGAATGGTGTGTCCCCTATTGCAGTTCGGCTTGTGGTTCTGATGCCCAGAGGACGTGGGGAAGCTCATTGACCCAAGCCCCCTTTGAGGTGTCAAGCTTCCTTTTTAGGGTTTGCTTGATAGTTTTGTTTACTACCTCAACTTGTTCATTTGCTTGCGGGTGATGAGGCGTTGAGAAATCCTTTTTTATCCCCAGCTCGTCGCACAATTCTCTCATTTTTCTGTTGTCGAACTGTTTCCCATTGTCGGACACTAAGGAGTGAGGAATGCTGAACCTGCAAATGATATTCTTTCAGACGAATTTTGTAGTATTTGCCTCGGTGATCTTCGCAAGAGGTTCAGCCTCGACCCACTTGGTGAAGTAGTCAATGCTAACAATGGCGAAGGTCGCGCTTCCTCTTTCTTTTGAGAGTGGACCAATGAAGTCGATGCCCCACTTGACGAATGGCCAAGGGCTGGTTACTACGGAGAGGTTCTAAGAAGGCTGCCTTTGAATATTCGAGAAACACTGGCACTTGTCATATTTCTGGACAAACTGGCAAGCATCCCTTTTCAGGGTCGACCAGAAGTAGCCTTGATGGAGAACCTTGTGTGCCAGAGCCGCTCCTCCGGAGTGATTTTCGCAAATTCCCTCATAGATTTCCCTAAGTATATATGTAGTCTCTTCGCGTCCCACACATTAGAGAAGTGGTGAGGCGAAGCCTCTTTTGTAGAGCATATCCTCTTTTAGGACGAAGTGCGCAGCCCTTCTCCTCAACTTCCTCGCCTCGCTTCTAGAAGCAAACAGTGTTTGGTCCTTTAGGTAGGCGATGATGGGCTGCATCCATAATGGGGTGCCTTCTATCCAAAGTACCTCTTCTCCTCCGGAAATGGAGGGTTTCGATAGGTGTTCAATAGGGACTATCTTTAATAGCTCAGAATCCTTGCTGCTACCCAATTTTGAAAGGGCGTCTGTATGTGTATTCTCTAGGCGTGAGACTTGAATCAGTTCGAACCTTTCAAACTGAGGGATTAGGTCCAAAACCAATTTCAAGTATACAACCATGCTGCTGTCTTTGGCTGCAACGCTTCCACTGACCTGATTCATTATCAGCTGAGAATCGCTGCTAGCTACGAGCCTTCTAACTTGCATTTCTCTTGCCAGTCTGAAGCCTGCTAGAAGGGCTTCATATTCGACAGCGTTATTTGAGGCTTTGAAGCCAAACCTTACTGCGCAATTTAGTTTGTGACCCTCCGGGCTTTCCAAGACAATTCCTGCCCTGGAGCCCGCCTCTCCTGAGGATCCATCTACGAACATTTTCCATGTTAGGGCTCGGCTGGTTCCATTACTCCTCGATTTTCGGGGCTTTGGCGAACTCAACCACAAAATCTGCAAGGGTCTGGCCCTTGATGGCATGTCGAGGTTGGAATAATAGGTCGAACTCGCTGAGCTCGATTGCCCGTTTTAGCAGGCGTCCTGAAGCGTCTGTTCTTTGCAGCACTTGCTTCAATGGGAAGTTGGTGAGAACTTCGATCGAGTGGGCCTGGAAGTATGGCCTTAATTTTCTTGAGGCTGTGATGAGGGCAAGTGCCAGTTTCTTCATGTCTGGGTAGCGAGTTTCAGCTGGGAGGAGTGCTTTGCTGACGTAGGACACGGGCAACTGGCACGCGTTTTCTTCTCTGACTAGGACAAAGCTGACCGCCACATCCGAAACTACTAAATACAGCAACAGAGACCTTCTGGTTGAGGTTTTGACAAGAGATACGTCTCTTCAAGGTGCTTTTTCAGCGCTTGGAAGCCTTCTTCACACTCAGAACTCCATTGGAACTTCTTTCCTTGCTTGAGCACATTGAAGAAGGGTAAGCTTTTATTTGTAGCCCTGGAGATGAAGCGGCTGAGTGCGGCTATTTGACCATTGAGATTTTGGACCTCCTTCGGCTTCTGAGGTGACCTCATTTACAGCAAGGCCGTTATGTTTATTGGATTGGCTTCAATTCCTCTTTGGTTAACAATATACCCCAAGAACTGATCTGAAGCCATCCCAAAGGTGCACTTGAGGGGATTCAACTTCATTTTATATTTTCTAAGTATATAAAAGGTTTGGTCGAGGTGACTTATGTGTCCGCTTGCCTGGAGGCTTTTGATTAGCATGTCGTCCACGTAGACCTCCATGATTTTGCCAATGAGTTCGGTAAGCATCATGTTGACCAGTCTCTGATATGTGGCTCCTGCAATTTTTAATCCGAAGGGCATGACTTTGTAGCAGTAGAGTCCTCTGTCAGTGATGAATGATGTAGCTTCCTCATCAGGTCGGAACATAAATATCTGATTGTACCCCGAAATGCATCCATGAAGCTCAATAGTTCATGTCCAGCAGTAGAATCCACAAGTTGGTCTATTCTTGGAAGTGGGAAGCTGTCTTTAGGGCACGCCTTATTCAAGTTGGTGAAGTCTACGCACACCCTCCATTTTTCGTTGGGCTTTTTCATCAGTACCGAGTTGGATATCCACTTCGGATAGATGACTTCCCTTATAAAACCACTGCGGCTAAGCTTACCTATTTCGTCTTTGAGAGCCTCGTACCTTTCTGGGTTGAGGGCACGTATTTTTTGTCGACAAGGGGCACAGGAAGAGTTGATGTTAAGATGGTGGCAACTGATCCTTGGATCTATTCCCACCATGTCCTCATGCTTCCAAGCGAAGACATCCAAGTTCCTTTTCAGGAAGCTTATCATCTCTTCTTTTGCTTCAGGAGACAGTGCATTCCCTACTCACAAGACCTGACTAAGGTCCTCTGGGTTGGCGGAGAAAGTTTCTAGTTCTTCCATTAGGGTTGCATTTGGTTCAAAATCAATTATCCGGGGATCTAATTCATCAAGAGGGTGTCCTTGTTCAGGGGCCTCTTCCATGTTGACGTCTTCCTCCTGTTTGGAGGTATGCCCTTGTTCAAGGGCGTCGAGCATTTCCACGTCCACACTAGCTTCATTGACAACTTCAGTTATGATCACATTAACAGTTCGGGGCTTCTACTTTCTCAGAGAGTTCAAGTAACATGCCTTGGAGTCCATCTGGTCGCCTCAGACCGTAGTAATCCCATGTTCAGTTGGGAATTTCATATACAAGTAGTGGATGGATGTGACGGCTCAAAGATCTTTCAAAGCGGGTCTGCCCAATACTCTATGATAGACCGATTTATGATCTACCACTAAGAATTCCATGAAGTGTTGGGCCGCTAGGGGTACTGAACCCATCTTGACGGGTAGAGTGATCCGTCCTCGTGGGACAATGCTGTCTCCAGTAAATCCGAATAGTGGGTCGGTCATGGGGATCAACCCATGTTCAATTTACATTTTGTCGAAGGTGGAGCCAAACAGTATGTTCACCGAACTTCCATTGTCGACTAGCATGCGGTTGAGTCCGTTTCTAGCCACTATGACTCTTACAACCAATGCGTCATAATGGGGGTGGTGAACTCCTTCTGCATCTTCTTGGGAGAAGGTGATTAAAGCCATCTTATTGGCCGTTTGTGACTCGTTGACAATGCAGGTAATTATTGGAGGGTCATTTGCTTCCCTTGTGTAATTCCTTTGGGCGTTCTTGGTGTTGCCACCAATATGAGGTCTCCCAATGATTGTGTCGATCTCCCTAATGACTTGGCTCCTAGAGAATGGGGCCTAATCTCTTTGTCTAGACTGTCATCGGTCCCTTGATTCTCTTCTCCGAGGTGATTGCTCTCTATGCCCTCTCTCTCCCTTGTTCGGGAAGGCAGATCTGCGAGGATATTCGCTCCTGCTGGAAGGATGTGGGTTGCTTGGATCAGGGTGTTAATTAGCGTCTCGGCACTCACTAGTATCATGCCCATAGAGTTGGTGGAAAATACAGAACCTTGCCTCTTCCAAGGGCCTGTTTGATCGCTTCTTCTTCTTACTATCAGCTCTTCCGGATGGTCTTGTTTCGCGAGGAGCATTCTCGTATACCAATACCGGCACTGCATTCAATGTGGTGAAAGCCAGTGCCTGTCCGGAGGTGGGAGCTATTGTGTGACCTGCTTGAGTCTATTGCTGAGTGATAAGGTATGCTGCGGGTCCTCAACCTACCTGCCTCTGAGGCGAAGGGAGTCCTTGCGCGGCACGGTTTCGGTAATCAATCATTTCCTCACTGATGATTTCTACTCTCATCATTCCCACAGACGGCGCCAGTCCGTTGACCTCGAAAATTGGACCGTCCACGTGGCCAACCGATAGCCACTCCATGTATTCCTCCCTGTGCACAATCAACACACGGGCTGAAACCAGCCGGGGGGGGGGCGGCGACGGCCGTATACACTCCAACGGTTAAGTTAGACTCAAGTGATCGGAATAGTACCAAGGTTGTACAAAATAATGGGGAGGAGAATATATATTTGCTTGCTATGGAGTGCTAAGTAGAAAGAGTTTCATTATCTTTACCTCTTGCCAAGCCTTGGATATTTATAGGTGAGGAGAACCGTTGGATGTGGGACACGTGTATACATCTGAACGGTATGAGACGTCCGCTCATAGACGTCAATTAGCCGCATCTATAGAGTGGGCAGGTAATTACTTCTCTCAAATTGAGTTGACATAAAGTTGATATGTCGCATCAGCTAGCTTTATGAAGACATCAAATCACTTTAAACCTTAGGGGCAGAAAAAAATCCTAACAAGGATCTCATTTTGAAATTGACGACGGATCCTCTGGTTGAGGTCTCGCCTAGGATTCAGGGGTGAGGGAGCTTCAGCCAATCCCGCAGAATTACCTATGCCTCGTAGTGTGTGATAACAGATCTCACCATTGAGGAAGCCACTTCAGAACCACTTTGGATCGCATGATGTGGTGGTGGACTTTCCGTAACCACTTCGGAACCACTTCGGTTGAGTGTTCCACACCTCGCATGACATGGTGGTGGACTTTCCGAAGTGGTTCACATAAGGGCGTAACACTAAAGACACTTCAATTGGCTAAAAATATACATTTTAAACTCAATTGATCTAATAAATAAAATGTAATTTTCGAAACTAAAGATATTAAAATACAAACCCATTTAATATCTTCAAAAACTAATAAGGATTAGTCTATCAATCAATCGTTATATCACTTAATTGATAGATTTCATACGATCCCAACCAGACACTTATATAGAGATTTATTGTACGTGTATCCCTTGGTTTTTGCTTCGTTTATTGTAATTTCATTGCTGGTTATTGGATCATTTATTCTGACATTCATGAAGTGTTTAGGAAAGGAAGACTGATCAACCCACCATCGACCACCAAATTATGCCCCGTCACAAAAGCCGAGTCGTCCGAAGCTAAAAATAATACGGCTTCGGCGACATGCCTAGCCGTTAACGTGACCCCTTTTAAGCTAGTCAATGGCCCGAGGATGTTTTCCACGTCTTCGTCGCTGGCCAGCCCAATTTTCGCAGCCAAGGGCGTAACCACAGCAGATGGTGACACGCAATTAACCCTAATCCCGTGTAATCCCAACTGCTGGCTGGCAGACCTGACCAACCCCAACACCGCGTGCTTTGACATGGTGTAATCGGTATGGTTCGGCCCACCAATAGTGGCAGCTACACTCGCGGTACAAACAATGGCCCCTCTAATCTTGTGCTCCACCATTTTTCGTGCAGCGTGCTTGACACACATGGCCATGCTTCGCATGTTGACTTGGATAACCCGATCAAATTGTGAAAAATCGAGGTCGAGGATTGTTTGATTGGAACTACTAACCATTCCAGCATTACTAAACATGATATCGAGCTGACCGTATTTTTGGATGGTCCAATCCACCATGGCTTTGACTTGTTCTTCATTGCTAACATCACAGTGCACGTAGCTGCACCGATCTAGGCCAATGGATTTCACCACACTTTGGCCTTTCTCATCTTGAATATCAGCAATCACCACCGCTCGTGCACCGTGTTCAATGAAGAGACGTGCAGTCGCCTCCCCAATGCCGCTGGCTCCACCGGTGACTATAGCAACTTTGCCTTGTAGCTTTCTTGAGAGTAGCATGGATTCAGATTCTGTCATTTTGTGATCAAAATTGACGATAGAGAAGTAGATAGTTTATTCTATTCTACCTTCTCCCGCTGAGATTTTATAGACTTTTTCTAGGAAGCATGAGTAAAATTATCGGATTTCAATAAGATTATATAATTCAAACTATGTCGGCCAATTATGTATTGAGTTGTGGAGCCTAATATTATTGTTGTGCAGAGTTCGTAAGCTGGTCAACCTAATTTGTCTTACAAATAAAAGTCCGTCATTAGGATTTTGTATCTTCATAAAAAAATAAATAAATAAAATAAAAAATAAATAAAATAAATAAAAAAAAATGAAGAAGTTAGAGAAAATAGGGTTTGCATGTTTTCTCTTGTAAACTTCTTTTCGTTTTTCATTATAGTGAGTTATTGTAGAGACTAGAGACGAAGAAGATGTAGTTTTATGTTGAGAAAAATCTCTATAAATCTTGTATGTTCTTTTACGTATTTCTTTGTGCGATATTATTACTCCCGATTGTAAAGAATTATGAGTTCTAATTCTCAACACGGGCGGACCCACATGGGGTCAAATGACCCCACAAAATTTTGCCCTTTTTTTTTTTTTTTTTTTACAATCTACTTTATGCACTAGTCGAGATGTCAAATAAAGTCAAAATATTGCATTCTTAATACCATTTCGAAGTGCTCATAGCCTAATTTTTCACTCATTAATGGCATGTGAAGTGGTCAATTATAACAAAAGTTATGACATGTTAAAGTAGCCCGTTTGAAACTAATATTTTGAGAGTTTCGATAATATCCTAACTTTAAAAATTCGTTTGCAATCATGTGCTATCTGAATCCACAAATCGTCTATGCCATATAAAAGTTTGTTTCGAAAACTACATCGTTTTCATATCGAATGGTCCAAATGAATATCGAAAATAGTTAAATATGTATCAAACGTACGTCTTAAAAAAGACGCTAACTCGTTTTTTATTTTAAAAAATTCAATTAATTATTATTTTTGTACAATAAATTTTTCAATATAATTTATATCGTTTCATTCGGAAGTCTTACATGAAATATGACGTAAATTTTTTAGGATTGTTACGGATTAAATGCAATTTGAATTACTTTCGAATTATATATGTTTGCTTTAAATTTGAATTTCATTTACTTTCTGAGCTAAACTTGAATTTTATTTCAATTAATTTAATTTCTATATTCAATTTAATTTACTCAATATTAGCTCAACATTTACCAACGAAGTGATAAACAAAACTATACAAGTAACAAAATTTATTTGATAATATTAATAATGATGTACTTATACGACGTTTTCAAAGTGTCAAAATACATATTAACTTATTTTTATTGATATTATGTTGTTTAATAAAGAAATTATTTTTAAAATTTTGACCCTACAATACTAGACGTCTGGGTCCGCCCTTGATTCTCAACATTATGCATTGCCAATCGCATCACTTTTTTGTACAAATGGACTGTCGAGCTTTATCTGGCTTTGCTATAGACACAAGCACGACAATACATAAGCGGTGCTTAATTTCCACAGATCTTGTCTCCCATCAAATTTTGAAACTTCTAGAAAGTTGACGCCTAAGTGCAATTTGAAAGGATAACGGTATGAATCCTTCAACTTGCAAGGACTGATATTTTGGGTTCAAGTCTATTAATACCAGCCTAGCAACTTAATATAATCAATATATCTTGACTGTTATTCACTTATTTTGGTTGAATAATGAATTATTGGCTTGGAAGGATATCTAATTAAGTGGGACATAGCCAAAGTTGGAAGTTGGACAATCTCTGCAAAGTCAAATCTAGAAGACAGAAGGGGTTGAGTGATAAGTTTTGATGATTCATATTAATATTAATGACTAAAGTGGCGGTATGAAAGAAAAAAATAGTGGCAACCACCATAAGATCACCGTGATGGGGGTAACCGTAGGGAATTTGGTTTCCATTTCAAAAGATTAACTAATTAGGAGAAGTAATTCAATTCCTTATAAATTCATGATTTACTCAATGCTAATGGAGACTTTATTTGCAGTTTTTCAATAGTTTCCACTTTAATCGAAGTACCATCTCATCTTACCCCTTAGAGCCTTGGATTTTTCGAGCCTTCAAGATCCAACTTAGGGTCCACCAACTTTGTTGGGCTGCAATTGGAGATCCATCTTGTACGTCTATACGTCTAAGTTCGAGGCCTAGCTTTTGATGTCACTTGTAGGGAATTGAGATTCTATCCTAAAAGGTTAATCAATTACGTGGAGTAGTCTAATCCATTAAAAGTCTGTCTACTCCATGTTTAACCAATATGAAACTTTATTCGTACTTTTCAAACAATACCGATGATAATTGTCGTGCTCTCACTTCGTGCAAATTGGCCTCGGGTGTATTATTTTTTGAAGTTCACCTTGAAATTCTCGAGCTATTAGATAGCTTTCAAATGGCTCGTAATTAGGATCTCAAACATTACTAATTTTAAATTTTTGAGGGAAATATCTTCATCGACGATGATATATCAATTACTAGTTTAAAAAGGATTGCATCCAATATATTATGTACTCATTTTTTGTGTAGTACTTAAATTTCTCAACTTGAGAGTTGAAGAGTGCGACGATAAACTCTTTAGTATATATTTTGATAAGTCATAGAGTTTATTGCAACAATTTTACTATTTTTTATAACTCAATTTTCTGATCCCAATTTATTTTATCAATAATTATATAATTAAGTTCATGTCAAAGGGCACGCCTAAGTTTATATAAAACAATTAACTATGGAACACTTATATTTTATATAAAGTAACAGCCAGGAAAACTTAGGTCAAAGAAAAAATATGTCTGTAGTTATATTAATTGCCGAAAAATGTTAAACAAATAAATTTATGGTTCAATTTTATTAACATAACAGAAAAGGTTCTCGATTCAAAATGGTTCAATTTAGTCAGCAAAAGTTTTTTCCTAAAAAATTGGCTGCTGAATATATAATTTATTTCAGTTAAGTTACTCTCTTAAATCCGTTGGTCACATCGTTAGTTTTGTCAATCACATAGTCCCTTCGATCAGACTTCCATTAATAATCGAAATTCAATAAAGCAATAATTGTAGGTAACACAACTTTACAACCAATAAAATTAAGAAATTGGACATTTGAAAGAGAGATAATGACCTATTAGGAGAGTGTTTAGAACATTAAGATTGTATTAGTGGCCACTAGGCTTATTAAGTATATATTTTTGTGGGGAAAGACTTTAAGTGGGAGTTGTTTAAATAGTTGATGACATGACTTCATTACTTCAATAATGATATATAGGAAGTTTCATTTGGCACTGCCCATATAGAAGAATCTGTCAACAAAAAAGTCAGAATTGCAAAATTTTTAGATGAAAAATAATAGAGAAAAAAAGAGTTGATTTTGACAAAAACTGCAATTGATTTTGATTGAGTTGAGATCGATTTGATGAGTTTAAAAAGGAAAAAAATAATATTTTAATGCATTTTACATAACATTAAGGTCTTTAAAATAAAAAAGTTCCTCCAGTTTGAAGTACAAGCTCTACATGGAAAAATGGGCGGATTTTTGGAAGGAAATACATATTAGAGAAATGAGAATTATTCAAGGAAAAAATAAAGTGGAATACTTAGGTTGTGTTTTGACACTCCAAATTATATACTATAACAAATTTATTATAAAATTAGAATAAATAATATTAGGTATATATAGTAGGGAAAATTGCAGCCGAAATATCAAATCTTTCATTTATTAGCAGACTTTGTCCAAACTTTTAGTTTGTGCCACTGGAGGTACCAAACCTTTCAAAAATCCGCACCTGAAGTCCAAATGGCAATGTTTAATTTTATTGGTCAACTAACGGTCAAACGGATGATTTCCATCCATTTGGACTTCGGGTGCGAATTTTTGAAAGGTTTGGTACCTCTAGTGGCACAAATTGAAGGTCTGGGCAAAGTCTGTTAATAAACGAAAGATTTTGTACCTCGATTGCAATTTTCCCTATATAGTATTACGATGATTAAGGTGAATAATGTTTTTTGATTTTTTAGTTAAACTATGTCATTTGCGCTATCAATCACTTAAAATAAAAGCATTTTGAGGGGATAAAATTGTAGTGTAAATATCACGCTTTTGAATCAAAATCCAATAATACTTGCTATTTAGCACTATTATTTTAACATTATACTAGATAAATCGACATAGTATGAAAAGAGAAATATCATATGTTGAGTCTTAGCTATCTACTTACACAAATTTTGTGTAAGGCGTTCAATGTAAAAATAATATGATTGATACAAGAATGAACATGTTGAAAATAATAAATAATTGAGGACAAAATGTCCAATTATGCACCATAGTTCTTAAGGATAGTTTTAGATTCGACATCAATCGACCCCCAACATCCGATCCATTTTGAGCATTCATGAAGGATTAAGTTCGAGCACTGGCTTAGGTTTCAATCAGATAACGAATCAAAAAAATTAGAGCCTCACCGTTCAAAGTTATATAGAAAGTGTGTACTCGTCATTTTTACAAAGAAAGAAGAAGATTAGCGTATGAAATCCTAATTTTTACTGTGTGAAGAAAAAGACGAACATTGAAAGAGATAGAAAACAAGACCCCACTTAGCGTGTTAAATGGACGAGATCAGATGCCAATGGCTGCAACTAGACAACGTGACAATGACACGCATGGCGCATCCAAGTAAAGGCACCACTCAAATCCACAGTGTCTCAACTTCAATGACGATGTGGAAATGAGCCCACTGCTACAGTGAGAATGAGATAGCACTTTTATCAATTGCGGATCTACTGCCTCCTCTTTGTTGTTTATATCGCATTAGTCCCAACCGTAGGCGATTAAAGTCTACTATTCTACTACAAGTTAAATGATGTACAACAATACGTGAAAAGTAAAGTTTCTATTAGCAACACATCGACATGTTGACTTGAATAGAAGTGTCTATAAATGAATAGTTTTTATGAGTCCATCTAAATTTGTGAATTAAAAAGTCACTTGAATATTTATAAACATAAGCCAAACATAGGATTATATTTTGGTTTTTTACACTCGTTCTAGATGTAAAACGTAGCGAGATGATAGATGAGAGCTCACGATTGTTGAATCGACATTAGGAAAGGCCAATAAGAGGATCCAAATGTTAGAGAGGTCCACTTGTGGTTCATATTCTCCTCGGAAACTTACATGAACGAGAGCACACAAAGATGCTTAAATGCTTCCCAATGCCCAACCCCGGTTAGAAATCGTGGTCTCATGGTGCTCACGGGACGGATCACCACTCTCGAAGCATGCCAACACACTCTATCAAGCTAAAGCTTTGTTTAAGTGTATCCTCTGTTACTTGATAAGCATGTTAAGTATTAAGAGTCTAATGAGTCATCCATTCCTCTTCTTTAGGGAAATCGAACCGACCCGCCAGAGGTTTTTGCAGAAATCCAGCAGGAAATAATCCTTCGCAGTTGACATAGACATCCTAGCACTATCGAAAAAACAATGATGAGGCATTAAACTATAACACCCTTGATGAGTAACAATAAGAAGCAATTTCTAAATCTACGATGCACAAAAAGATTTTTATTTCGTAGGATCCACAATTAAATACCCACTTATCATCCTTACATTCCTTGGACCCACATTTATAAGCGCTTAAAATCACTTCCAAACAAGCACTTAGTTTCTTGTACTCTAGGCTTCAAGAATCCCATTTTTGTATTCAGAATATTAGAACTTCCAACAAGATAATTTACGAACTTTAACATTAATTTAGTCATCGTATACATTCCAAACGAGCCAAGTTCAACAAGATTTCAAGACAAAAGAAGAATACGCAGGAGTAGGGAACAGGTTTTAACTGTTCACAATCAATCATACAAGGGCTTGATATGAGTGCCATCGATTGGCTTTATTGCTTATATTCAACATACTATCACAAAAAACTTGAGATAAGAAAGATAACGTAGAAATATACCCAAAAGTTCTCAATATGACCAGAAACCAAAGGCTTGATCTTCAACTGGAAATCCAAAGTAACAAGAATTTGTAGACACACCAGGATAATCAGTATCGCCAATCCCTGAAGATGTGAAAGCAGGTCGAAGTAATTCCTCATTCCAGTTATCTTCACTCTGAGATAAATCCGAACGGTCAGGCTTGAAACTGTGTGAAGAGTGAATTGCATCAGCAATATGGGGGCCATCTATTTCATCACTTCTGGCTGAGCTTAGATCTTCACTCCTTAAGGCCACCATTGACACTTTGGATTCTTCGTCTTCAGAAATTGTATCAGAAATGGCTTCTTTCCGTGACCCTTCAGGCAGTTTTTGGTTATCGCTTGATGGTGAGTTTCCGTCCCCTTGATCTCGAACAAGAATATTGTCCACAAGGACAAGAACCTGAGCAAAAATGGAAATATCCCATAAACATTATCGAGAGTTCACAAATTTCAGTGGGTTCTCTATTTCAGAATATCGAAGGTAATCATCAATCAACTAATAGAGAAGTCTCATGTTAGTCACCAAACTATATTTTATTTCATGCAGGTTAATCAATTTTAATTTTTTTTTTTATTTTCTTCCATTTGGTCACTCTGTTTAAAATTCGTTACTTTTTCTAATGGAATATCTGAAGCAGAACATAATGTCACATCAAACTGCCATATTTTGTGTCAGACATTATGATAGAAAAACTAACTTATTTTGAAGCGAGTGACAACGGAAATAAAAAAGAAATCTTCAACAACTATTTTTGGAACAAAATAAAATTCAGTAACGAACATAAAACTTTGAGTGGAAATAGTATATTTAACCCGATTATTATTCATCACCTCAGCTTTTAGTTTCTCATTCTCCTTGAGAAGATTATCGTAATCCGTTTTCAGGCGGTTATAGCTCACTTCTAATGTCTCATAATCTATTTCCAACTGTTTAGTCTTCCATCGTGCCCGGCGATTTTGGAACCATATACCAATCTGCCGAGGCTGCAAACCGAGCTCCTTGGCAAGCTGAATTTTCCTTCCTTGTTCAAGTGTATTCTCTGCCTCAAAGCTCCTCTCGAGGAACTCAACTTGGTCTACCGTTAGACGCCTCTTCTTTTCTGGCTGATTAAGATATTCATCCAAATACTTGTATCCATTATCTTCTTGATCAAAAGGATGAACAGTTAAACTGGCTGAATTGTATGGGCCAGTTCCTCCAAAACTAACCATGGATCTTGAGCCTGAAACAGAACTATACTCTTAATGCTAGGCTAAAAAACAATGTTTTATCGCACACAAAGATTGAGAAGACAAGAAAAAGTATGTTTATAAGGCCATTACAACTAAATTCCACTGATTCTTCAATATAGCATTGTCTGAGTAACTAATTATTATGATTTTCCAAAATAATGCGTGATTCAGAATTATAAACCACATCACATAATCATCCAAAAAACATCAAAATTTGAACCTGGATCTCTCTAGAGAAGGATATATGCAGTTTGGGTGAGATCTAATTTCGATCCAACTTTCCGTTCACTTGTGAGATCTAGGTGGTCATGAGACCACTACGGCTTGTCTCTTTTCAAGAATCTGTAAGTCTCTAATCATTCTCTCTCTCAAATACCAACATAACTCGATTTTGAATTATGGATTTACAGGGGCTCAACCAACAAAGAAAATTTTCAGGAAAATATTGTAAGACTCAGAAAGCTGTCTGTATCAATGATTGAATAAGCATAACAACCAAAATTTAAGATTTCTCATACAAGAAAACACTTAAAAATCAAACCTTGCATCAATCACTGAATAAAATTTGTTGCCATCATTAGAAGAATTATTACATATATTCACACGATAATTTACAACTTACAAAACAAAAAAGTCAACGCAATTTAATAGGAGAAAGAAAAATTTTAAATTACGGAGAGAAGAAGATGAAGAACCAGAGAATTGTATAGAATCAAGAGGCTGCCCATGATAAGGAGTTTTCAGTTCCCGGCTTTCAAGAAAATCACTGTTGACATTAGAACCAGCACCGCCACGAACCGCCTTCCAAGCCGCCATGGATTATTATTTTTCAAGATCAGAATAATGATGGAATTTTCTAGAAACTGCAATGTAAATCCTGTTTTTATTTTTTTTTATCAAATCCACCAGGATTTTATATTTGGATGTTGGGATTTAAAGAAGGGGGTTTTAGATTTTGTGGCGAAAAAAGCTGGTTATAATTATCTCTGTGATGTGTGAAGTGTGGGAACACCGGCTGCTCATTACAGCCATCATCAGACCTCAATTTTCACAAATATTACAGACCAAGATTGTATGTATCTGTATGCATAAGAGTATTTGTTGTATCTCTGTGTTTGGGTTCTGAGGGTTGAGAGAGGGAAAGAGATGTCAGCAGCAAGGGGAGAGCGAGACTATTCGGGGGACTGGGTGTACTATGAGAAAAAGACAAATATATTGGGATTATATTCGGGCAGCAAAATTGGATGGTGAAGGAAGAAATTGGAATTTAAATTTTATATTGGTTTCGTATCTACTTTTGTAAGAATGAGAATGAAAAATATAATCGTTACGAAATCTACATAAGAGATAGAAAATCAAATATGATAACTTGATATGATGGATAATGATCATATTTTTCATTTTTATTACCAAAGAATGAGAATCAAATGGGGTCTTAGTCTTCCAAACTGACTTATAGTCACTCAACGACCTATAAAATTACTTTTATGAAGGTAAAATAGGCCAAAACCCTTTGATAGTATTTTTCAGCCAAATGGTTGTGTTGGTGTAATTTGAAGACAACAATACACCACCAACATCCATCATCAAATCAAAGATCCATCCTATAGAAATGGTGAAAATTATCAAGCTAGAATACATTAGAGACATACATAAATTTTGGAAGTGTTAAAAGACCAAGGATTAAGCACGATCCATATTGATGAGCCACTCCATATGTTGGGTCCTTAGCTCGAGTCTAAGGTAACAATGTAGGAGAGGGAGTCTTAATGGCAATCTCGAGTTAAGGAGACCACAAGGTCACTTCACTTTCACTAGGATTTCAAATCAAATTAGCTACGGAAATTTTATAGATAAATTTCTATGAGGTTATTAAACTTTCATTCAAATTTCAATTAGGTTATCGAACTTAAATGTTGTCTTAATTGAGTCACTAAATTTCAATTTAGTTTTGAATTTCACCACCCGTCTACCAAACTAACGTTAATTGCTCCTTTAACAGTCATATTGCAATGAAGCTTCCACGCAATCATTGTGTAGCATGTCAACTAACCACTCTAAGTTTAAAATGTATTATTACGTTTTCTAATATTTTAATATAAAGAGATTGTCAATTTTAATTTTTAGAGCGTCACACGACGATTATATAGAAGGTTGATTACGATATAAAATACTTTTCATCAATTTACGAGAACAAGATTAACAAAATGAGGAGTTCAGTGATCTAATTGAGAAAAAATATAAAGTTTAAAGACAATTGTCTGCAGATTGAATTTTCTCACTATAACAATTTTAGAAAAATATAGTATTTTGTAGTATAATTGCATGATAATATTCAAAATTGCGCGAACTCTATCAAGCTTAAGTTGGCCCAATTGCAATCAAATTTAATATTTTGTAAACTTAGTAGATATAATTTCGATCATTTTGCACGTTTAATAAAAAAATAATAATAGACCAAACTCAAAAAAAAAATTTGATAATCTAATGTTCGATAGTGTGTAAAATATTTTCTTTTCACATTTGTTAACCTCTAAAAACAACCAATTACTTTAAACTTTAGCAAGTCGACTAACCTATGATTAGCTACATTTTAATAAATGATAAAATTAATAAATAAGTCTTTCATATAACACGTTACAACTCATAGCCATATACAAACATTCTATTCTTTATTTATACAATTAAATGAGATCAAGACTTGAACTTATCAAGATCACTACGTACCATAAAAAAAAAAAAAAATTCTATCAAGTTCATATACGAAATCATTTCATTTTATGTGTTAAATTCTAATTGGTATTTAATTTCGTTCTTTTATAATTAAAATTAAAGATTTTTAACTCCAATGAAGAGTTGCCAAAACACCAATCAAGCCTTTGTAGAAACCATTGAAAATGGAGAATGTTGTATAGTTGACAACGAAGGGTTGAGGAGAGATGGAAAAAACAAAGGAGACATGTCTAATCAGTCGACTTTTGTGGAGGTAATGGCATTTTGGGAACCCACTAAGGCCACTGCACTAGGTCAACTTCATTTGAAAATTTATTTATTTGTCATTGTTAAATAAAATTTGTATACTAAACGTGTACCTAAGATTTAATGACTGATGCTCTTTGGAGAGATCATACTTTGATTGTGATTTTTTGCTAAAGTTATCTCAAACTCCACAATAAAATTAAATTATCGTCTACTTGCTATGAAGTTACAGAACATCAATCACCATGTTTGAAAATGCTAAAGGACATGGGTGTCTTTTATATGTTTAATGAAACAAGGTTTTAGTTCTTAATGCTTAAAAGTTTGAAGCCGAGCATGCTTGATAAGGGTCATGACATGATATTTTAATAATTATGCTATAAGTACAGAAGATATTTGACTGAATTTTTATGGAACAGTACTTGGCTAAAATTTATTGATTTTGGACCGAATATAGGTAGAAATTGCACCATAGAAGTGATGCCATCTGTGAATAATTTTCTGTACATATTTTAATGAACGCTTGGACAATTTTTGTATTTGGAAATTAATTATGCGAAATAAGTGAATTGTTGAGTATCGACTTGTTGATTGTTAAAAGAACAAATTTGCAACGGTGACAATCAATGGGACCAACGATACAATTTTACGCAATGTAAATTTAAGGTAAATTATAGAACTAGTCCCTAACCTTTTTGACACTTGTAGCGATATTGCTCCAACCCTAATTTTATAACATTTCCATCCTCGAATTTTGAATAATTAGCGTATTTTTCATATTTTAACATTATCTTTAATTAACAAGCTAAAAATTTTGTTAAAAGGATAATTATATGCCTATATTTAAATAAATAAAAAATAAAATACGAGAATAAATAAATGAAATTCATATTCCACCCACCCACCCTAAATAGTTGGCACTGTCACCACCAATCGGCGATAATTTGTTGTCTATAATTTTTTTTTTCTAATTAAGAAAATAAAGTATTTTTCTAATAGCTTCTACTAGTCATATGTAATATGCTTCATTGAAGATTTGACAAAAAGAGGCATTATAAGGTTGGAGCAACAAAAGCCAAAACCAACCAAACTTGGAATTGATAAGCAGAACTTTCAGTAAAATATGGGAACATGCTAAGATCATACCCATATTCTTCTCAAAATTCAAGTGGATTGGGCTTGTGAATCAGTTAAAAAAATAGAGAAATAACGTTAAAAAAAATAGAGAAATAACAGAGAATCACGGTAGTCAAGTTTTGATTGGAAAACTTTTCGAACAAAATTCTGGCAACTTTTATTTGTCAAATGAAGAAATAGATTGTATCTTTTATTTGCCTCATCAAAAGTCAAACCGATATAGTATGGCGTGGCATGTGAAAAAAACTACACAGTCAAAAAATGGTTGCCGATTGACTCCAATTGTTGTGAAGGCACTACCTTCACTGCATTTGTGTCAATTGTTTCGGGTGTGATGGGTTGGGTGAAAGACAATTTATTGTCTTTAATTTTTTCGTTGTTGTATTTCATTTTCTAACATATTGAAGGATATGAGCAGAAATGTCCTTTTCTCTATAACATTTTATGTTTTTAACTAAAAGAGACGGGTAAAATTGCCATTTAGGATGAATCGTTCTAATTATTCAAAGGTTGGCAGAGAAATGTTACAAATAAAGGTTCAGGACAGGATTTCTATGAGGGTTAAAAGATTGGGGGACCATTGCTGTAATTTATCCTAGATTTTAAAGTAATATATATTGAAGTAAACAATTTATTTCCCGCAGAGCTTATCTTATTTGATAAAGACATAGAGACTAAATTTTTCATATTTAAGTAATTGAATTATGTATTGCTTAATTATTTTATTGCCTTCACTATTATGTGGGTTTATATTTTAATTACTATACTTGTATTTTGTAATTTGTATACATAGGCCCCGTTTGGTAGTCATTTTTTTCAAAATGCATTTCTCTCTCTCTTCTTTTCAACCACACATTTTTTATTAAAATAACATTATACATAAATCAAAAAAATTTCCTTATTTCTCAACCACACATTTCACATCAATTTACTATTCTAAAATATATTTTTACATAAAATGCCTATCAAACACCCCCATACATGTAAATAACTTATTTCTCAAAAATAAAAATAAAAAATATCAATTCTAAATTAAATCCAACGGGATTCCACAAAATGAAAAATTTAATAGAAATCAATCCAACCATTCCACACGAAAGTGATTTATTGTTTAATTATCAACTGGTCAAATTTCAATTTTAACCACACATTATTATGATCCATGATTTCTATAAACTTTTTAACCACACAAAATTCTAAATTGCTTACATTTTCAATAGTTCATTAAATTTGGATTATAAAATAATTCAATAATCTAGATGTAGACATAAAAAATAAATAAATAAATAAAAGAAGATGGATTTGGTCGATTTAAATCATAAACTCAATTAAATTTAAGTCTACTAAAGTCCATAAAATTCAAGGGCCCATACCAAATTTTAAATAAATAAACAAATAAATAAAACTATAATTACTCAATTATCTCTTTTAATTAAATGTAATTGAGTAATTACTAAAATTAACACGAATTCTCCTCTATAAATAGGACTAACGGTCCATAAGACAGGGGTACAGGAAGAAGAGAAGAAGCTTGTAAGAAGAAGCGAAAGCAGAGAAGGCAACCACGAAGTGCTGATGAAATTCTAAGGTCGAAGGAAGGGAAGAAATTCTCTCAAATCTAAACTCGATGAACATCAGGAAGATCAAAATATTCTTCGAATCAAACAAGTTCACATCAAGTTCAAGAAGATCAAAGTCTTCTTCAAATCAAATCAAATCAAATCCAAATTCAAGTCCAAACCTCAATATTCAAGTTCAAGTCTCGACAAATGAAATTTTCAACAAATTCTCGAAGACCAGGACTCAAGCTACATGGCCCCTCATCTTCAAATATTCAGATCATTAATCAGAGGATTTTTGTAATTTTGCAATTACAAGAAGGTAAATATCACTTGTATTTATCAAAATACAATTTGTAACGATTTCTATATTTTAATATATGAAATTTCGTCGTATAAATTTCTTGGCACGCCCGGTGGGACCTTCTTGTCTTCTCATCTTTTGATCTCAAAATTTTCAACTTTTAACTATTACATCAGTAATGGCAGGCGAAAAGGCGAAACAAACTATGACTCATCTTGAAGAGACAC